AGGTGCCGTATGGGAAGATATCATCACTTTTGGTGGTAGTATTGGTATTGTGATAGTACTAGGGACAGGAAGTGGAGGTGTAAGGAGCTCCCGTGCCGGAGGCGGTGGTGGTCTTTATGGTGTCTTAGGTGACTTGGGCATTGTACTGGGGTCGGGCCTGATGTCGGCGACGACGGAGGTGGTGTGTGAGTGGATGACCCCAAGGCGCTTATATGGAGAGGATCCAAATATAGTACTTGTTAACGTCAGTATCAGATGGGCACTTTTGTATTTGAGTTCAGTGGGTGATTGTTGTTGGTATTGGTCTACGTGTGGTAAGTGGCTAGACATTGGCATAGACGGAGCTCGTGACAGGATGCCATGACTACAACATAGCGACTGTGATTTGTTCCTCGGGAGACTTTCGAAGAGCGATGTCGATGTCCCGGCGTTCTTCAGCTGTGGTGGCACGATAGGTTTCGCGTATCAAATTTATCTCCATGTCTTTCTGTAGTTCTTGAAATTCAGATATGCGACGAATTGCTACATCCTGAGCCACACAATGGTTTTCAATAGATGTTTGCAGTTGATCTCGAGCTTCTTGTTTGGCTCTATTCGCTCGCGCTAGCGAGTTTTGAGCAGATTGACTGACACATTGTGGCTCTTTCAAAACAAAAACAGTGTTGATATGCTCGGCTTGAAGGCGGCCATTGCGCAGTTTGAGTCGAATAATATCTGGGTGCAGACGTTCCACAACGACTTGGTGCTCTGCGCAGCAATTGTCAATCGCAATCTCGCGATGTATTTTGGCTTGCTTAGATTGTTCTTGAAGTGCTCGTACGCGTTCAGACAACAGTGCGTTTGTCGCGGTTACTTCAGCGATTTTTTCGTCGAGGTCTGTAGTAAATTGAATCCGCTGATTGGCAAGGTCTTCAATCAGCTTTGAACGGTGTTCGACAAGTTAAGTTACTTTCGCTTGCAGTGCATCCCGCTGATCGCGAATGGTCGTGGCGTCGTGTTAGAGAGTTTGCATGAAATGATGTAGCTCTTATTTGTGATGCGTAAGCATGCCGACTTGCGATGGGGTTGCAGTGACGATCGTTGACGCAGCACATTCTCCAGTGACCGTATTTGCAATGTCTAATGAGGCTTGCATTTCAATTGAAAATGTCGCAATAATGGCGCTTGCCTCGACGACAGCCTTTGTTGCGTCCATCAATAGCTGCTGTATTTGAGGGAAAGAAGCGAGCTCAATATCATAACGCAAACGCGCTTATACCATCATGAGCGATACTGCTTCAGTTAAAGCCGTATGGGCTGCGAGGGCAAGAGGATTGTCTCCGGAGCTTGTCGATGTGATGCTCATGAGAATGGCATCTAATGAGGAAGGGCTAGGTCGTGTGAGACGGCTTTCTAGCATAATTGCGTCGTCGTCACCGACCGGCCGGCATATGACTTCCTATTCCATTTAGCTCTGGGGAAAAGGTATTGGGCTTAGAACCAGTTGGCAGAAGACTCTGATAAGGAAAACGTGTATTGATACCGTGAGGGCTTCCAGAATCAGAAGGTGTCGTGTTCACTTCTGTTGATAGGGATACAGTGGTACACGACGCTGCCTTATACGTCATGAACAACTAAACGAATGTTCTGAGGGTCTGGGGCCCTGGTGGTAATTCCAATTTGTAAGTTAAAGTTCAAAATCGACGGGACTTATTACCAAAGCAGCAAAATCAAAGAAACTTACTTATGATTGTCTGTTTGTGCAATATTGGAATGCGTGGTCATGAGATGGTACAATAAGGTCATTAACGATGTCAACGCCATTCAGTCAAATTTATTTAGTTCATACCATATACATTTCTACTACGGTTTTACGCGTCTGTAACGTAGAAATGTAATCGTCCCTATAACTTAACTATTTTGGCAACTACCCTTGACCTCGTGTGGTGTCCGTCTGGTCCTCCTCCGTACCTCTCACAGTCTGTCCGGACTAAAAATGAAGGAATCTATCGAAATTCAAAATTTGGATGCGCAAAGTATCTACAAGGTGTTTTTGCACTCATTACGCCTAACAACGTAATTGTAATCAGCTTGGTCGACTCTAGCAGTGGGGAGCGCGGACAAAATAAGCACCATCACGATCCCTTCGTTCCACAAATGATTGATTGAGTTAAGGTGCAGGTGTGCGTACATTCACAAACACACATTGCATATTTTTCGATGGTAGCGCGTTCTGCGGGCGATAGAGCGCACCATCATAAATGCAGGCAGCTTTTATATTGCTCTTGCGTGAATGGTATTTTTCAGTCACTCATTAATTGCAGATAAATTTATAAATTCAGGAATGGCGCCAACTACGCAGCATCATGTATCGGCTGAACCGGAACCAGAATGAAAAAGTTGGGAGCCTTAAACCGTTTGTGTCTAGACGACAAATACTTTACTAGGGTTCATATATAAATACTAAATATCGATATCGAGTAAGTCAAAATTAGACATAAGGTGCAATTATTGTATCAAAAAGGAGGGTTTTAATTTAAAAAGGAGTGTGATAAAAACAACTTTACGAATTACAAAGTTTAGCATTAATTTAAACTAGGGTTGCTTGATACAGCAAGTCCTGCATTTGATTCATGTAAAAAGTTTTAAAAATTAAAATATAATTATTTCTTTGTAGCTCAATGGTAGAGCAAATGGCTGTTAACCATTAGGTTATAGGTTCAAATCCTATCAAATTACCAGGGACAGCTTTATCCTGTCAACCAGTACTTTCATTATAAAGTCTATTAAATTTCGATTGAAATCCTATGGCCGAATGAGCAGGTAGTACATATCTTTATCTTGCTAGGCTTCTTCAGGTCGAAAATAAGCTGCATGCATACGTGGACCCAGTTTTTTAAATAAAATCCCATAATTTTTCTAGCTCTTCAAATTCCCAAAGATGAGGTGTCATTGTCCCTTTTTTCAAAGCACGACAACAGAAGCTAGTAAACGCTCTAATACACGAGTTATTTCTATATGCAAAAATCTAATGCAGAGATCCTTTTAAGTTCATGTTTATTAACAGTGCCAGGATATCAGTGACGTTAACATAGAGCGTCTCAAGATGTACTACATTCGGCTTGGAATTCAGTTTACAGTTAAACTTTGTTTATCTTAGTCAAATGATAGGAATAAGGATGTTATTAGTCTGCAGAGTTAGCAAAAGTTGGAAAAAGACAGCTCAATATATCTCAGTCGGTACTGTCCGTAGCTAAAATGAACAAGGTGATGAGAAATCGATCGATCACCGTCTGATGGCTACGATCTTGTACGGTCAAAATGGACGGTCTTTTCTCCTAATCAAGGGTTATTGAGATAGTCACGTATTGTAACGTAGACCTCTTTGTACCGAGACATTGTAATGATGAGCTAAGAATGCTTTCGCTGAGTCTTGTGCAGGTTCAGTGTAACGATCATGTCATTTATAATTTACATAGATTTCTCCGCTAATAAAACCTTGTATTACATCTTGCAAATATATATTTGCACTAGAGTTCTAGATCGGCGCTTATCGTGCCCACCCTAACTAAATATCCTTGGGCGTGGGCGGCCTACAAATTCGTTTTTCCAGGTTATCGCCGGATAATACAGTACAAATAAGTCTCTTATACCGTAATAGAAAAGTTATGATCAATTGAGGTACAAAATAATAAGATAGGGGAGCAAGCTCTGGAGCTCGCCCTTTGATATAAGCAACTCAATTCATAGAACTGAATCAAGTTGCAAAAGTGTATACAACAGCTGTCACTGGAGAATGAGTATGATGCTATTACTGTCTATATTAGCCTAGCACCGTGTACTTAGGCAACATGATCAGTCTTTTCTTACAAGCGTCCAGCATTTGATCATATGATCATGTTTACCTTTGATCGATTTTAAGCCGATCACAAGCATCCGATGTCACTCCTTGACTAGGTCACTATTGCATCACAATAGTGACATAGACAGTGAGGACTTCGGATTTACCTATACATACGGGGGGGGCAGGCTAGATCGCACTTAGAGCGGGTAAGATACACCGTTTTTACGGACACACACTTCCAGATAATTACGATTTAAATGGTCGGGATTCAACCTTGCGCTCGATCACCGATAGCTTCACCCTTCGGGCTCACAATAAGCTTTCGACGTCGCGCCCCCACCCCCACCATTCGTAGGATGCACCCATGACCATTATATCTATGGGCGTGGGTGGTCGTGGACGTGGATGTGGGTCCCAATTTTGAAAGTCTAACACGCACATTACCCAAAAAGAATTTGAAATTGTCAGTACAATGAAAAACGCAAGACCTATTCGAATATTGGCCAAATGCCTGTGCAAATATAGGCACGTATGTTCCGCAATGAATGACATCGTGTTGAACACGGGCTCAGAGGTAGGAAGTGAATTGAGAACTAAATGTATTTGAGCTATGTCTTCTAGTTAACTTCGCAGTCCGTCACCTTCAATCTTTCCTTCGTAGATTTCTTGGAATCACCTTGCCCATCCCAAATGGTCGCGTCGTTTCACCATCCGTTATATCCTGTCCCATCAACAGTCTCGCCCGTCATGTCGGTAGTCGCACTGTTGTAACACGTCGACGACGTTTGCTCGACCTTCATTCGCCGTCATAAGAGCGAACATTGGTACGATACTGGTGGCCAATGGTTGCAATTCTGTATTTCGTAAAACAGCTTACTAAAATCAGCTTACTATTGATCTAAAATCTAAAATCTAATTCGAATCCTAGCTTGCTGCACTACAACTGATGATAGATAGCTAGACTTTAGCCTTATTCAGGAATTTTAGATCCCATGCATGCTAGACACTGTGATGATAACTTTATTACAAAAAGTTCCATCGCACAAAATCTCGGCAAAACTGCTCATACGCAGGGGAAGAGTACTGAAAAGTAACCCAAACGCTCACAATTGTCTAACCTGAAGTAACCCAACCAGCCGTAATTGGCAGACCCGCGTTGCAAGTCGAAAGCTTTAGTATGTCGCGGGCAGCTACGCCCCTGAACGCAGACGCGTGCCGCGTGTGTGGCAAAGAGGACGACGAGGAGTTCTTGGTCTTATGTGACGGCTGCGACCGCGCCTTCCACACCGCCTGTCACCAGGGCTGCACCTGCTGCATGACCAAACCGCGCAACAACTTTGCACGCAAGCCAGCGGTACCTGAAGGCGACTGGTTCTGCAAGTTTTGTGCCGGCCGCATTCCTGCTCTCGGTGCGCCTGTTTTTGCAGCTTGCTAGCAAAAGGATGTGTGTGATGTGGTTGAAGTTGCTGAATGAAGTTGCACTTGTTGCTGCCACGTGCAACTTGCTTTCGACCTGATGAAAAATAGACAAGGGGAAACCACCCGTATCTTCGATTTTTGTGTGGGGGGACAATGAAGATGGGCAGGTGCGTCCACCTGTTTTGATGTGAGGTCGAAATGAAGGAATGGCTACATCCTCGCCTCGGAGCCTGTTTGCGCAAATGCTGAAGTAGCAATTCCAATTGCATGATCCCGATTGTGGTGTTTGACAAACAATGGTAGCTGGGACTTCCAGACACAGAGGCCAAGGTAGTCTGGCAACCCACAAAGGTGCATGAACTCGATGGTATTGGTGTCCTGGACATTGCTTGCAGCGAAACGAGCACGTTCGTGCTCGGCAACGACACCAACTTGTACTCTGTGGGTACGGGACTGTGCGGCCAGTTAGGACACCAGGACGTTGTGCACGAGAGGCTGCCACACTTTCGTTTGGTGCGTTGCTGTGTATACAAAATGCTGCCTCCGGATGGATGGTGTGTTCGATAGCAAAGCGCTGATGTACTGTATGATTGCGTCTGATGCAGCTGGAATCCATGACGGAAGATAAACGGTCCAAGGGTGAAGGAAGGTACAAGCAACTGCTGCACGACTAGGGCGAATCATGCAGTTAGATGTATCGCTGATATTCTCTGACTGGTGTATACTTTCATGTGTGTACTACAGATTCGCACAGATCCATGCAGGCGCTCACTTTGGTGTGGTCGTTACGACTGCAGGACATGCCTATACGTGGGGGAATGGCGAGCATGGACAACTAGGTCACCAGGAGAACAAGAATAAGAAAGTGCCTAAGAAGGTTTCTGCCTTGAGAGAACTTGAAGTGCCAGTCGACCTGAGTATGCTTGCGACGATGCGATTTTACTTTGGGATTGGTCGCTGAGACTTTGTTGTGCGTGCAAATACTGGTCCCTTGTCACCGTCAGCTGCATGTGGAAGCGACTTTGTCATCATGACGACTAAAGACCCTGGTGATGACGACCAGTTTAACACGAACAGACCGGGTGTCTTCATGAGCATGGGATCCAATACTCAAGCGCAATTGGGCGATGCATCCAATAAGAACCAGTGGGTCCCGCAGCTCCTCAACAACGACGCCCCGGACGTTACTAGCGTACGATGAAGGAATGCGTGCGACGTTGGATGTAGAAGTGATTTCTTACTCGTGCCGTATACCGCAGAGCGAAAATGCAGACATTGAAGAGCCCGCTGAGTTCCTATTAGGTCGTGACATTACGCAGCTGGCTGCAGGTGGATCGCATGCTGTCGCTGTCGTTGCTGGGTACCAGATATTGACTCTGCACGCATTCTGATTCATAACAGGGTGAGGGCTCACTGTCGTTGTATTTGTCTGACTCAGAACGAATGGGATTTGGACGTGGGGTTATGGAGATCGTGGTTCGTGTCGTCGATCGACAGTATGTTGGGGCTTGTAAACTGGAATGCTTATGGTGGCATTTGCACGTTCGTTAAATAGGTCAAGTCGGGCATGAAAAGTCAGCTTCTCCTCCGGGGGAGTCGAAGTTTTTCCGCTCACAATTTCGTGTACCTCGACCGCGCTTTGTCCAGGTCAGTTCGAACGCATTTTCTGTACCTACGATCAATCCTGATTCAAGTTTTTTCTCAGGCCTTTCGAAACGATCAGGTCACATCCGTTGCGTGTGGTGCCCAGCACACGCTCGTGCTCTTGCAGGATGGACGTCTGTTTGCTATGGGCGATAACGAATTTGGTCAGCTTGGCACAAAACGTGGCGACGAGGCAGAGACGAATTGCACGTCGACGCCTGTGCGTGTCACTACGTTTGGCTCTGACAAGAACCTCAAGCAAATCGGCTGTGGCCACGACTTTTCGATGACGCTCACGACCACCGGTGAAGTGTACTCTTGGGGTCGTAACCAGCTTGGACAGCTGGGTCTGGGTGATTCGCAGCCTGGTTCCCTAGACACGCCTACCAAGGTGTCCGAGCTTCCGCGTATTCAGAAGCTGGCAATCGGTGTGAATCAGGTCTTTGCCATTGAATTCACTGACGGTACGTCATACCCCGTACGTATCCCAGGGCTTCATGGCGGGTCTAACTGACGCGACACGCTGTTCTTGCTTTTGCTTTCTCTATTGTATAGTGACGCTCCCACCTCCCATTGTCCGCGTTGCTTTACCCGCCAAGAGGAGCCGACCAAGTGGAATCGGTGCCAATAGATCGAAGAAAAGTCGAACGTAACAGAACGAAACACGACAAAACAGTGAGCATCGCTAAACAACATGTCGCGATTGCACTTGCAGCAACTTTACTTTCCACTTTGAAAATGCAGACGTTGCGAATGTTGCTTCTTCGACTAAGTACGACATCCAAGCGTAACCCGATTACGCAAGGAACCCCCACCAATACGCACAACAGCAGCAGCTCGAGCTCTACGGCGACGGCAACTCGAGCAACTTAGCTGCATCGAAACCGTCAAGCGACATGAATCCGCCGCCTCGAGGCGCCCAGCAGGCCCCTCTGCTGCACACGTGGGTACCACCTTCACCCCAAGAGCAGCAGTTGTACGACCGCCTCTTTACTCAAGTGGACGACCAGCGGCGCAATGTGATTGGCGGTCAGCAAGCCGTTGCGTTCTTTTCACGGTCGCATCTGGACAAAACGGTTCTGCGGGAGGTAAAGTTGCGCGTACCAGTGGAAGCATGTGGGGAACCAAAGTTGTTGCTCCCGTTCTAATGTCCTCGTTTCTTGGTGCGGTGGTGGCTGCGACTTTAGATATGGAACGTGGCAGACGGTCGGCGACAGAGCGCATTGTCGCGTCAGGAGTTTTATGTAGCCATGCGACTTATCAGCATGGCTCAGCATGGCGAGCAAGTGTCTGTGCAGAGCTTTAACTGCTTTGCCATGCGACCATACCCTCTTCCTATGATTGAGGGAGTGTCGTTACCTCAAGGGGTACATCCTGTACAAAATGTGCAGCAACAACGGCAGTTGCCAACACAAGTGCCGGTCCAGGCTCAAGCTCATGTGCAACATTCGCCACGGAATTTGGGGCCAAAGGGACACCCGCAGCAGCTGTTGAGCAGCGGAGCAGCATTTGCACCTACTGCAGATGAAATGAGCAAGTATCAGTTGGTGTTTCAGAAGTATGATACCGATCACGACGGATTTCTGAACGGCGCTGAAGCAGTGGCACTGTTTCAACTGTCTGGCCTCGATCGCAATGTATGCGTAGTTTGTTTCCCATGTGTGGCTTTTTGTTCGTATGCTGACACTAAAGTGTGTTTCATTGGCTGCTGTCCAGGTGCTTCGCGATATCTGGACGATGGCAGATGTGACGCACGATAGCAAGCTAAACATTGAAGAGTTTTACGTAGCGATGCACCTGATCGTATGCGTGAGCAAGCGTGGTTTACGAATGCCTCCTATGTTACCGCCTGAACTCGAACAGGCAGTGTTCGGGACGCTTAGCGCCAGTGCAACAATGCCTGTCCAATATTCCAGCTTTCAGGGGACAGTAAGTGCATCAAAAAGTGTGTTCATGGAGCAGCAGCAAGAAAGTGTACCACTGTCGAAGCCTCAGGGGATGTGTGCTTTTGACACATTCTCCACCAACGAGGACGCACCTTTGCCAAGCTTGATTGTGCCGCCAAGCCCATGCGGATCGCGTAAGGACGTTTCTATTCAAGCTAGTGCCAACGGAAAAAACGTTCAGGCAGGCTTTGATGGGCCTCTGGGTTCTTCTCCTAGTGGTGATTTATACGGAGGCTTACCCATGCCGTCAGAACGGCAAGAGTGTAGCAGCTTTTCGACGACGCCGACCGTTAGTGTTATTGCCAGGGACCGTACAAACTCGGCATCATCGATGAATTCGATGTCTAGTTTTGGTGACTTCCCGTCGCTTCCTGCTCAGCAGTTCCCGCAGCCTTCTCTTCATAATATCAGCGGCAACGATCGTACTCTTATGCATGTCGGCAATCCAGGTCATCAGGCACATCCCGAGCTTGCTGTCGGAGGAGGCTTTGGTGCGCCACGCAGTTTATCGGAGAAAGCGTTTATGGGTGACGAAGAGGAAAAAAGGCTGACAAGACGACTTGACCAGCAGAATCGGGATTTTGCTCAGATTGTTGCTGATATGGAAAGCAAGCTATCCGCTATTGAAACAATTTCTGCAGCATTAGGCAGTCTCCATGCGATGCGCAATGAGCTTGTGGATCTTGCAATTAAGCGGGATGAGATGCGTGCGGCATCAACTTGCGCTCTTGCCTCGAACGGCGGTTCTGTAGGCGAAAAGAGTTGGCTCGCTGTAGTACAAAGTCTCGAAAACCTGGTTGACAATCAGAAGCAGTTGGTTTGCCAGCTACAGAGTGATATTTCCAGAGGTGAAAGTGAACTGGAGGAGGCCATGTTAAGCGCAGAGCTTCAGCAAAAGATGTCACTAGGATCTCAATCACCGTTGATTGCCGCAGCGTCGCCGCCGTTGACGACGCAGATCACCTCAGGAGCTGCGGATAGTGAGCCTACCACTTTTGCTAGTGCCGCTCTTGCTTTTGACGAGCCCAGTGGTGTGTCGCCTTCCGTGGTGGTGTCCAGTGCACCATCCGTTTCTACGTCTTCACATGGTATGACCGACAGCAGTGGATTCAATGCGTTTAGCAATTTTGAATCCGCACCATCCCCAGCAGCAGCAGTACCGGCTACGATTCTGTCAGAGACAACTGGCCATTCATCTCCATCTCAGAGCGCTAGTCGGGATGGCACCTTTGATGCGTTTGATGATTGTGCAGCTTTACCATCTACCGGTAGTGCTCCACCGTTGCTGCTCGATTTCGGCGGTGACTCGCCGTTCGATTCTGCGTCCTTGCCTGTTGCGGTGAGCGAAAGCGCTGAGTTCGGCGATTTTAATGCGGCAGCAACACCCTCTGCTGGCGCTGAGAATGTCTCGCCCTCTCCACTAGCAGTGGCCAATGCACATTTCGCCCCCTTCCAGCCGTCGCCATCTCCTGCTGCAATCGCGTTAACCGGTTTTGATGATTTTGGCGCTGCTCCCTCCTCGATAACTACAACGGCAGTGGCAAAAGGTGCAAGCGACAGCCCCATCTTCAGCTCTGAGCCGACTGCTTTTTTCGGTGCGAATCCCACTACCCCCGCACATGATGCATCAGTTGCAACAGAGGACCCTGTATTCGGTGCTTTCCCTACTACACCTCTATGCAATACCGATGCTACGACGTCCGCAAGCACAGCCATTGGAACTCAGGACTTGATATTTGCTCCAGTTGCTGCAGACGAGAACAACACGGACATGTTTGATGATTTCGGTGATGTTGCAGCGTCCGTTGGTAACGCTGTGGAAGTTGCGGAGCCGGTGGCATTCGAGCTACAACCACCGGAAAACTTGCTATATCCATCGCCGCCTTCTTCTGTTGCTGCAACGCCATTTAGCAACGTTTGTACCACCTTCCCGGCAGCGAATGAAAGTGTTGAATCAGCACCTACGTCGGAGGAGTCAACTGGCAACTCACCGTTCTCATCGACTGTCTTGGACAGCAATGGCTCGAATGGACTTGTTGACTTTGACGGATTTGGCGACTTCAATACAGCTCCAGCTTCGATCGACGACACTGCTCCACTTTCCGCGCCTGCAACGCCAGCAGAGCTGATCTCCAGCAACTCTCTATTCTCCCTCGGTAGCGAGACCAACAGCGGAGAAAACTGTGAAGACATTGGCATCGCCCCAGCCTCGATCGAGGCTACCACGACACTATTTGAGTCCATGGAGTCGAATGTTGTGAACGAGCAATCACCAGTTTCAGCAGACAACAAGAAGCTTAGTGATTTTGTCGACATCAACTTGGCCCCCGTGGCAGCCGACAGCGCCAGCTCTCCACTATCACCTGTCAATGATGGCTTCGAAGTGATCGATGACTTTATTGCTGCTCCAATACCCGCGACCAATGAGAAAGCAATGGATGCAAGCGATTGCAACTCGGAGGCGTGACTGGAACAGCTTCACGTCATAGTCTACTAGAAAGCAGCAACTGATCCGAAGTTGAAGCGAAGCGTTGCAAGATACGACGTCATGGTGGGTGGCTTTCGAGATACTACACAGTGCCATCCTGGAATTTACATGCGATTTGCATGCGTCACAGCAAAGGTATTGTCAAAAGACGGATGAATCTCTGCTACAACACGTCCATCTGGCTATTTCTGAAACAGTGGCGGGTTATTGTATGACAGCGGCGATTTGTGGCGGTATCACCGGTGCACTCGATGTGTTTTTGAAGCGATCGAAGGTGAGTAGCCGTTAACTCGTTGGCTGTAATGACGACTGCGAAGAGGTTTACTAAAATGCAAAATTTCGCCGTGCTGTCTAAGAAGCAGGGATTGCACAGGGCTTTATTATTGTACAGCAACAATAAAGACAAAGGAAGAAAAAATGGCAAGGATATTGGTGTAGGTATGCGCAGTCCTGGACACTTTACGGAGCCCAAACAATCAAAGCGAGCGTGTCATGGTGCAGCGTACAGTCAGATATTCTGGACTATCGTGTCGTCCTTCAAGTAAAAGTACTCAGTCCGTGCAGCTTGCCAGAAGGATAGATGAATGCGACGATCTGGACAGGACACGGTCTTTGGCAGTGTCCTTACGCCAGTCTATTCGGAGCAAACTACTGCGCACTGGTACATCTATGACACACGTTGTGCATCGGAACCAACTTGCCAACGACAGTCTCTTCGATCTGCACGAAACCCCTAAGGTTACTGACATTCGTGTAGCGTTCTTTGACGAATCCACATCTTGTTGGGAAAACGAAAGGCTTCGCGTGAGATGCAAACAGTCAACGCCTGGTATCTATCGAGATGATCTTACACTAATTTGAGCACATGATGCACTGGTTCCCTGCTTGATGGTGGAAGCTGTCTTTTGTGAGAGTCCTTTAGACAGAAGGATAATTGATGTACTACTGGGCAGTGGAATTTGAGTCGTTCATCTCGAAGAGCTTGAGTGTATCGGGGCAGATGATTGTGCGCCATGCAGTATCATCATTCCTGAGTATGAGTATTGAGCTTGTGTCGCTCAGTTTTCTACTGACCAAGCTGTCTCGATGTGCACAGCACATGAGTGGAATGCGGGCTTTCCACAATGCGAAAGCGAAGCCTTCGTACAGTTTTCCACACGATACGATCCGCATCCATAACGGTAGATAAATTGACCAGTGGCCTTTGAAGGACCTCAGCACTCGATCATCACGGGATGTGTTTCATGCTGTAGTCGTCAATCTGACCTCACAGCAAAGAAAGAGTACTAACAGGGAAAGAAAAGCATCGATCGACTCGCGATCTGCTACCGACCTAGTAGACGCTAGTGTGTCGTCAAAGCACTTTTATTATCGCAGGTCACACCAAGACATACTAGCCCGTGGCTTCAGGAATCCGCAGTACAAGCTCCTTGTGGTACGAGACCGAGCAGAATTGCGACTGCCAAATTTACAGCTTTCTACTCTGACTGTCTGGGCTTCATGGGCGCAAAGTAAGCAATGAGGTCCTTGATATTCATGAAAGCACTGAAGGGATCCGCCATCTGCCCCCTGATCGCTGCAATGGCTTCGTCCACTTCCTCTGGCGTAAAAAGATCGGTCTCGCGTTTGAGCATGCGAGCCATGTATCGAGTGCGAACCAAGCCTGGTTTTCGCTCGAGCCCGTCTCCAAGATCCAAGATGGTATTTCGGCGTCGATGGGCCAAGCCCATTGTAGGTTCACCATCGGGAAACGCATGGAGACTGTCGTCGCCCACAAGTTTGCAAAAGTAGCCGCAGTAGTTCACCTTGAGCTCCTTTAATCCACCCGTGTGGATATCGTACACAAGGCCATGGATATTGGGCTCATTGGGACGCCCAATGCGATGCTGGACGACGTTCATCTTGAAAATGTTCAGGCACTGCTGTTTCACGTTGAGCTCGACCGTCCGTCGGTACCGCGCCTCATCATTTGGTAGGGCGTCAAGTTCCTCTTTGTGGTTGCGATGGACATCCCGAACCGTGCGGAGCCACGTGTCCAGGATCCCAATGTGTTTGTTCTCCATAGCGGCCTTGACGCCTCCACAGCCATAGTGGCCGCACACGATAATGTCCTTGACTTCGAGCGACTCGACCGCATACTGGACGACCGAGAGCATGTTGATGTCGTTGGTGACCACCAAGTTGGCCACGTTGCGATGGCAGAACATCTCCCCCGGCACGAGTCCCGTGACTTCTTCGGCCGGGACGCGAGAGTCGGAACACCCGATCCAGAGGTACGACGGGTGCTGCCCTTCAGCCGTTCGGTCGAATAGCGACGAGTCCTGTTTCATCAAGTCTTCCCGCCATTTCTTGTTATTGTCCAGTAAGTGCTGAATCGACTTGGACGAGCGAAAACACTCGTCGTCCGTGCACTTGTCGCCTGGACAGGCCGAGGTCATGGCAAATCGGGATCGATGCGTGCGAACGAGCGCAGATTCGCAAGTGAGAGACGTGGAGGCGAGTGGTAATTTTTAATATATTTACACGGTCAATTGTGTGTGTGGTACGCGCCGGTCCGGGATTTCAGCTCGGGCTGAACGAACGGGATCTATCGTCGGGACGGGGAAAGTCGGGGTTGTTTGGGACGGCGACTTTCGTAGTGGTCCGATCGTCGCGAGTGGTTTTATGCGCCGAGACCTCAGTTTTACAGCGACTTTTGCCACCTCTCGTTCTAATCTTGGCGTTTGTTATTGTTTGTCGACGTAGGCTGTCGTTTGGGAAACACCGTCTATGTTCATCGTCATGTCTGACGCGACATTGACACTTTTTGCGGCTGAACTTGGGCGTTTCACATGTGCCAACACTGGGTACAACAGTTACAGTCACGTGTTCGCAGCTACTTGTCGTGGTCATGTTGTGGCTCTTCTTGCTTGTGGCTGTCGTGCTTTGCTGACTCGAGAGATGGGCACAAATCCTGTCTTGCGATGCCTGCAGGTTTACATACGCGGCACTTGCTTCGAGATCGAGCGAACCAAAGTTTACATGGACCCGATTGTCTGCCACGTGTCCGTTTCGTGACGACGAGACTGCAAAACGGCTGTGCTACTACTCACTGACTGTATCACATACGTGCTCTGCGGTAGACGGATCAGTGTCTGGAGCCCAGAGCCCATCGTGTCGTACTTGGTGAAGCTGTTTGCTTTGAAAACGGCGAGGCTTCTGTCAACACGAGTGGATGAGGAGACGACATAGTTGCAGTACGACTAGACCGGGGGACTTTTACCGTGGCTTCATCGGGTCTGCTTTGTACCACAACGACGCGTTTAGTTGGCATGAAAGGTGAACCGCTCTGGATTCAGACATGCACGTACAGCTAGCTGGAAGCACATTGTAGAGGCAGTTCGCTCTTTATCTGTTGACATAGAGTAGCTTGAACGTGTTGATGCTGCAGGTATCAATTGGACCAGGATAGACAAAGGCGATAGTCGCTTCGGCGCGTCGGTTTGATATCGTGCAGATGTCGTTTGATCGGTGCCGAAAAGAGACGACGCATCGATAAACTTGAACCGAAGATGATCGACATGTTACCAGCTTCACGTGGCAGGCTGATGCATCGTGTATCATGCTAGAAGTCTTGACATAGTTGACATCCGTTGCTACTCGATAGAGTGCGGTAGATAACTTTCATCCACTCGGGAAGACAAACGTGCGGTTTCTGCTTGATATCTGGAGGAGGTGAGGGCAACATCCCAACAATCGCATGGCAGATTTCACAATGTCAGTGAGATTAGAGACTGGTCTTGACCTGATCGTCATATTGTGTGTGATGGTAGTTTGTTGCAGACCAAGCGACACACGCTTAGTACTTCATACTCGATGACCACACACTTCTACTTGACCAGATTCTTCGGGTTTCCAGATCAAGCTGGAGGGCATCCTCGACACGGCAGCGCCTGTCGAATTTGCTGCCGAACTCAGCGCCTTTTCCATCAGACCCGCTGGTGTAATTTAATTCGAGGAGCTTACGTGGGTAGAAACCGCTAGTGTAAGGGACGACTGTATCCTCCCATTCCTGAAGTGTCTAGCTTGACTTCTCGAATGTCTTGTAGCCAACAACAAGATAGCGATACACTGAAACTGCGCACAGCTTCTTGGACTTACAAATGGGATGGTCGCCAACAATCATTCAGTAGAACGCATCGTTGTGTTTGTGCAGTAACGATGACCGCGCAGCTCGTGGTTGGTTGACTGCGTTTTCATGCGAGGATCAATTGAGGACAATCTGTCATCCAACTACATTCGGTCCCGACGATCCTTGTGTTCGCGTGGTAAACGAAGCACTTTTCAATAGTATGCATTGTCACACAGTAGTGTAAATTGTCACAAATCTCAAAACGCGAGACCACTGAACTCGAGAAGTATCGACTTGCCGTGATTGCACTTTCCGAAAATTCGTCGAAAGGTACTTAGTCACACTAAGTGACCACGGTAGCCGTCAGAGCGAAATTGTCAATACTCGAGCAACAACGACGCGAATAGTGCACGCCATGGTACAAGAAAGCACTTGTACATGCTTTGGCTTGCTGGCCCATCAAGTGGTGACCGCAGTCTCGAGAGCCTGCAGCTTTGTATCCGACAAAAAGCACAACCCTCGCGATGACCTCAAACTTTCGAGAGGATCCACTCGAGACAGTACTACCGAGCTAGATCAGAGATCATGCGGTGCTGAAGATAACAATGGTCCGGGAAGTGATGATGAAGACGTGCTCACTTCACTTGGTACGTCAATTCGAGCGTGGCGGGTTTACCATCGAGAAAAGCGAGCACATGACTATACCAAGACCAGGTTGGTCGATTCCATCAGACGAGAAGCGGCGCTTGCAAACCAAATGACGCGTGTTGGTGGATCTGTCGAAGGCATCGAGCGCATATTGATGAGGCTGGAAGATCTTGGAGCTGCCGTCGTCAACGCGAAGGGATGTTTGCTTGGTGCTGCAGTGACCAGGCAAGCAGCAGACAAAGACGTCGAGTGCACGCTCGACGATCCGTGCCAAGTGGACCCTGATCGTATCCAGGAAGCAGAAGCAGCCGCCTTGCATTGGAAAACACAGTGCCAGCAACTACTGCCAAAACTGGCAGCAAGTAATTTGGAGAAGGACCGACTTACGGGTGAGCTCCGAATGGCCAAGAAAACGGCAGTGTTGATGATGAACCGGCAATACGGTCAACTTGAGGCGCTGAATGGCACTCACCATCAGTCGCTTCCACGCATTCCTCGACGCCGTAGAAATGATGTAAAAAAACGATCGTACAGCGACATTGTGATGACGTGATTCTCGACACGTGAAGAGTGTATCCGCTGATCGTCCCTTCAGCCGTGGCAGTGTCCTGCGCGGCGCATTCCCATTGTCAAAATGTTGAGACGATAGCCATAGCGGTACCTGTAAGTGTTCTGTCACCGTGGTCACGACTATAGCGAGCTGATCCGCACAATAACGATGCTTTTTTCGCTATGAACCAGCACACTGCTGTTTCCATCAAATGTGTTGCGTGCACTTCATCTCGCATGTCTTTCTCAGCGTATTCTCCAAGTTCATGTTGACAGTAGCGCTTCATGACATCCGAATCTCCCATGTGGACTTGATGGTGTATCAGTCGCTACCACTTCCGATTCGTAGAGAGATCGACCGATACGCAAAGGAGCGCAAATAGTTTTCATGAATCCAGCGTCAACAGTAATGTGTTCGCTGTAAGCTGCTCGTCACTGCCGCAAGATTCATACACAACCTCCACAACATCCCGAGCAAATCCCATCGCTACTAGCTGCAGCAAGCAGATGAAACATGTACCACACAACGTAAGTACAACAAGATGCAACGTCAAGTCAAGCCAAAGTCATCATTCCGCACCCGTTCAACTGCTTCACCACTCGAGCTACTGCTTGCAGCTGTTTCTACTTTCTGCTCACCCTCATCTTCAGCACCATCTCTTGTGCAGTCTTTCATCTCGCCTTCACGCAAAGACGCCGTCGGAGCGGGATGTAACAGTAACTGCAGCGTCGCCACCGGGTTCTCATTCATCTCATTTAGCATGTCCGACGAAAACTGTTGTTTCAAAAGCAGCAACGCCTCGAACGGCTTCGTTGCTGCCAGGTTTCGTAGCTTCTGCACCTTGTCATCACGTACTAAACTCCCCAGCGGAGAACATAGAAGCTGCTTCCCAAAACCTGAACAACCGGCCGTCGTCTCATTGAGCATCAACCCATGACCCTCATCCCCTACATGAACTCCTCCTTCCACTAGCATCGAAGCAGCTGCCACGAGGTCATTGCCACTTTGTCGTAAAGCTTGAGCTGCCAATTCTTCCGAAAACCCCATCTCCACTAGCTGAGACTGTACCACACGAAACAATTCGGAATTTTCGTCATTTTCGGACTTTTTCCTGCCAGAGTCGGCCTCACTTCCGACCGAAAATGATGTTGACGATAATGTATCGGGAGCAAACACGAAGAAATCGGACGGCAAGAGCGTGTTTAGGTCCAACACATCAGGGTCTGCTAGAATTTGGCCTCGAAGGAGCACGAAACAGTCTTCAAGACTGGATAGAACACTAGCGTTTCCATCGGTGCTTAATGGATGCCGTTGCAGCAGTATCAACTGCTTTAACTCAGCTACACGTAGCCGGTCTTCGGGGGATCCATGGCGCTCTAGAAGCAGCTCACGACCATCGTCAACGCTACGCACTCGGAGCACGCGCATTGCGAAATGGCTACAGGTTTCTAATTCTAGCCGCTGCTAGGTTTAGATTCCAGGGTCGTTTTTAATGTGGCGCACGCTAGTTGACACTGGTCGGTTCGGTCGACAACGGTGTGTTGCACGTTCCACAACGCCGTGTTCGAACGACCTCCCTCTCTGAAACTGCAGGATATGCTTGGAGTGTATCTATCGGGGAAGATACAATGTGCAAGTTGTTTGGCAATACGCTGCATAAATTCTCAAACCACGTTCTGCACTGTTGTCGCCCAGACGAAGGGCGCATCATATATGTACATACACACGTAGATGAATACATCTAAAACTACGTACGGATCAACTCTTTTTGGCATTTCGTTACGTTTGTGGATTTGGTGCATTTGTTTTGTTCGTTTGTGGCTGTGTAACGAGGGACCGCAGCGTGCGGCTCGGCTGGCTTGCCTCGGTGCAGAGCTGTTGCTGCGATAAGGCTGTTCCAGCCCAGTTTGCGGTTCAATGGGCCCGCTTGCTTGCTTGTTCGCTCGCTCGCTCGGATTCCGGATACACTTGCTTGCCTTTCACCAACCAATTGCTCGTTCCCCTTTGCACGCACCTCTACTTGATCTCTATTACTCCAAAAGTCACCTCGTGCTCTACTCGAGAGAGAGCGTGGACGCAAGTAGGGAATAACTGTCATCAACATGTAGAGCAAAGAGGGAACACAAGCTCTAACTAGTAGTACCAGATACAACGATGAAGCCGTCGCTTACTCGAATAGCTGTCGGACAGGAGGTGGGGGTGGAAGGCATTGCGTCGGGACTGCACTGTCCGTTGATGGCACCGTGAGTGCAAAAGTGCGCGCGAGTGTCCTACCGGGCGTCACGGTGGCCATGCACTTTTGCATGAACTCGTCGTACTGCATATACTGAAGTCGCTCTTGCAAGTGGCCATACTGGATGAGCGAGTTGGGTGCGAGGAGCACGTGGCCACATTGACCGCCCCCGAGCTGTGCTAAGTACGTGATGATGTCCCGCATGACCGAGTCGGGGGAGATACTGCCTCGTGGCTCGGAGAACCACTGCGGGTGTCCGTCGAGTTGTGCATTGGCAGCCTGAACGAACTCGTCCAGGGCTTGAGCATTCCAGTCGAAGAAAATGGCGGGATTGTGGTCCGTCACGGTGGTGCTGGCTAAATAAGCTTGGACTTGTTGCGATAATGCTGCGTCCGTCAGTGCCAAGTTTGCCATGTTTCGTCCAAGTTGAAGCAAACACGTCTCTCTTTTTGTCTCCTTCCTGCAAAGTAGTCAGTCGCACAAGAATTAGTTTGGCTTTTGGTATCGAACGAAAGCGCAGCACGCCACGCACCGTTCGATAATCGAGTCGTTACTCGCTTTGGCAGTGGAGTACTGAGTGAGTGCGTGGAGGTTCCTAGCTTCGAATATCTAGGTGAGGCGATTGATCTCAAGTGCACAAAGTGACAATGAGCGGTAGTCGTCCAACTTTTCTTGAACTGGCGAAAGCAGATTGAGGAGTGATATCGCGCTTTGCCGCAAAGGGCTGATGCTGATGATGCCGGTGATGAGGAGGTTCCGGACAGGGGGGGGAAGGACAAAAGAGGACTGCGATTCAGCATGCCGCGTGGAGGGTTCAGCACCAATCTGGTGTTTCGAGCTGCAAGTGAACAAAAACCCGCGGCGTGCGGGCCTCTGTCCTAAGAAATGAGCAGTGATCGTCCATTCTCGCCGCCAAGTTTATGAACTACCAGTTTCTACACATATTGTTGCAGTCTGAGGAACGGACTGTCAACTTTGTGCCAATTACAGCCACGTTGGACACGGGCGAGTTGTTGTGCCTATCGGTCGGGCCAGTATTAGTTGAGGAAATGGACAGCAGTGCGCTGAACGCAAAGCGTTTGAACCTCGTGAGCGAGTGCTTCTTCTCATCAAAGCCAAAGTAGGATATGCACAAAAAAGCCGCGGGTGGTGCCAACTGACTAGCAGATAGTAGGTACTCGCGCTCGGTGCTCGGAAAGGAAGACACTGGAAATTGATGCGTGCATCGCCGTGCCTCAGTAAAAAGGCTCTCTGGTCGTCGTCAAGTCGACAATAGTTAAAGTGGGGCCAGTTCAGACACATACCACGTCTATGTAGTCGCTATGGACGCCAAGAAGCGACAGTGTGAGGCACGCGGCCGACGCCACCGGATGCCTCATGTACGTTTGCGTATCGGGTTGGACCGTGCGACCAACTAGCAAGAAGCCACAAGAACCGGCAAAGGCGGACGCGAGCGACTTTTCTACGTCTTGAATGAGTCCGAGCATTCAGCGTGATGTCGCAAAAAACTTTATGGACTGTAGCTGTTCGACGCGGTCGTATTGGGCTTACCGTTCGCTCAGCGCAGTTTGATCGACTACAACCCCCTAGGTGGGTATCCACCAAGCCATTGGGATGTTCACCTGTGCACAGGGAGCAGAACTTGCGGCTGTCAAGAGCTCAGTGGACTCAGAGGTCGTGGTCGCGATTACAAGCTGTAACAAAAAAGCACTCAGTCGATGCCATGAAATAAATGCCTGCCTGCCAGCTATGACGAACGATCGGTCCTTGTTGCAGCAGTGTCGGCCCTTTGACTCCACCATCTTATGCCGACATTTTTCAGGTAACTTTGTCTGCAACAGCTTTTATTCTTCGAAGTAGATGCGTGGATATTGATGTTGAAGACAGATTGTCGATACGAATACCTGATTCTTCCCGATCGCTATCAATCTTGGGTTTACACGGTACGCAAGCTGCCGTCCTGGCGCTTGCGTTGCTGATTTGGCGACAAACACCACACGCCTATCACCAACTGAGGCATCCCATGATTGAGCGTTATTCGATACGATTGGTTTCCTGCCTCGCGACATCACACTGAGTTAATCCGTGACCGGGTCAAGCACGTGATGTCTGCTGGACGTCCAGGATCGACTTTCCTTCGCTTTTCTGGCCGACACGCTGCGTCTCCAGACTCGATGATGTGCTGATTTGAAGAGCAGGGGCTGTCAACACTTCACGGTTCCGATCATATCGTCAGTCCAGCGGCAGCCGCACCCGCATTGATGGCACGCCGCACCTTCTCGACCAGAATGACGGACGTGAGTCAGACTGGAATACATGGATGGACGAATGTTTGCGCATATCGAATCAGAAAACAACGACCCGGATCGTTTCGGTGGCACTCACTACACGGTGCACATGGAATTGGTAGGGGCAGAGCTGTCCTGGAGCCAAGCTCCTGGTTGATTGACGCACTTACCTAAGCGTTCAATGTAACGTCTGCGACGTGATTGCAGTAGTGACTGCCACGCTATAACAACTGCTGGTCCACAACATTTACCGGATGCTGGAGCTGTCGCGTGCACTGAAATACTGCCTTGTCGCAGGCAACTTCGCAGCGTCCTGCAGGATGAGTCGACCACGCGGTATCGTGTTACAGCACCTTACACGCTTGCTAGCGTCTGTATGTCATAGTCCGGGAGAGACGACAGTGACGACCCGCAACTTGAGAGTTCATCAGCACGCTCTAGACTGTTACTTCGCACTCGTTAGTAATTGCGACGACAGCGTGGGTAATAAACAGAATCCTCGGCCTCGTCCTCTTCCTGTCCCAAGTCACTTTCGTGAGCCCATGACGAGTACAGTGGGGACTTGGCTAGAACGAAAGAAGAAGGAACACAGGTGAAGCAGGCGTGCGGAAGGGCGCAGCGGACGGACACTGTGGTCCAACGACCTGGTTGGACCGTAGCTTTAGGGATCCTTGGGCCGTCAAGAGAGCGAGAGAATGCGCAAGCTGATCTAGGCGTTTCACATTTTGCCTGGGCGTGCATGATTTGGATTGCATGAGTAGGAGAAGAAGGGTCGGATGCCGCTATCCATCCGACAGTATTCACATCTGAGATTTTCTCGGAAAAGCTTGTCGGATCTGCAAAGACAAGGGCAAGATCTCCTCCTCGTTGCAGCGAGCGAGCACTTTGTTGGCTTCTAGGCGCCTCTCAAGAGGCGACTTTTGTATCTAGGGCAGCCTGTCGTATCCAAGTCCAAGGGGCGGACGCATGCCACGTAGCCGTGGCTGCTGCGCCTGACTGCGTCCCCTTTAAACTTACAGTCTATCTCGAGGCAAGGGCTTCTTTGTCCTACTAACATTCTTCAGCCACCGCCCATTTTCTGGCACGTTGTAATGTTTACGGGGAGTGATGCTGTATATCGGGCGTCAAGCAGCTGCGCTGTGCACCCCTCAATCTGCAATCGGCTGGCTTCTGTATCTGTTTTTAGTATGCGTTTCGGATCCACACGCTGTCTCAGTTGCCACTCGCGTCCTTTCGGCGCTTGGTCCACCTTGAAGCCAGAGCAAATCCCATCATGGTGGATAAAAGGGGACTTGAATGAAAACCTCTTCCGAGCATACGGTCTCCACTCCTTCGTTCCAGCCACTTTCTGTCTCACGACCACCTGTTTTCTTTTGTACCCCGTGAAAGTCGTCCTTCCGTCCTTCCCGTCCGCTTCACCACGCTCGAGCGAGCCCAAGCATCCCATTCACTTTCGAATTCGCTCGCTCCAGCGCACATTCACTCCTGCCACTCGCTCCCACCCCATTCGCCCGCCGCTCTCACACAATGTCCGAGCACGTCGTGCTAAAACTGAGCCACGCCGGAGAAACGCACCGCACGACCGTCGCGCTCCACAAAACCGACCGCTACGAGCAATTGAGCTACGACCTTGTCGTGGCCAAAGTGTGCGAGACGTTCGCCAAGCTCCCTGGTCAATGGACGCTCGTGTACCGTGACGACGAGGGCGACGTGATCACCGTGTCGCACGCACTCGAGTTCGACGACGCGTGCCACGTGCTCCTCCGGCTCTCGAGCAATAGCAATGGTATCAATAGCAACCGGAAGCTCCGTAGCGTCCACTTTTACGTGCTCTCGCGCGTGTCTTTTCGAGAGAAACTAGTCGCTCCTGTACTGCAAAAAGTCATGGCCCTTGCTCAATTGGCGCGGGAAGCTGCGACACTCGTGCGCACGCGCGAGATCCTGGACAAGGGCCGCGAGTCCTTTTTCCGCTTTGCTGGCGGCGCAGTCTCTCAGGCTGGGGCCGCTATGAGCCACATTTGCAGCAGCGACGTGCTCGTCCGAGGCCGTGAGTCGCTCGGCCACTCGGCTGCACACACGCGGACGCTGCTCTTGTCTGCACGCAGTGGCGTGAGCACGCGGTTGCAACGCGCGGGCTCGGCTGTGGCTGCGGGCATTGAGCGCCGTCGATCGGCCAGTGGGTCGAGTTTCGATGGCGACTTTATGGTGGACGATACGAAGCGAGGCGTGTCGCCTGTTGAAGCTTCCGCTTCAGCTGCTGCTCCGGCTTCAATGTCACTGTTACCGAGGGAAGTAACAGTGACAGTCGATTTGCGACACTCGAGTGTCTTGGCGTCGGTTGAGGATCGAACAGCTGGGAATGGGGAAGTGAGGGACGAGGACGAAGAGACGTCTCGGAGTGAAGTAGAGGCGGACGCAGAAGTAGCAGCAGCACAGGAAAGTGAGACGGCGTACGAATCGGACGCTGATACGCTGTGCGACGAGGAGGAGGATCGCGAGTGGGACATTGTTGACGACTCGAGAGGTAACACAGCGAGCGAAGCTGTTGCCGGGATCGAGGGGAATTGGACCCGAGAGCTTCATGTGCTGCAGAGTGTTCTCGTGGAATTGGACCACGACCGCTGTTGTGACTTGCTGAGTCAGTACAACGGCGATGTAGAGGCGGTGCTGGTGAAGCTCACAAATGTGTAAATGATTAGTCGTGTGCTTGCTGTGAGTATCTCTTCAATCTACGAATTAAAATGTGCTTTACTTTTGTTCTTCATCGTGCTTCTTGCTGGCTGCTTTGACGTATTTGAGCAATCTTCCTAGTTAACCACCCGTGCAGCATGCACAATTACAAGCTCAAGCACATTCGAGCAGTCGTTGATCAGTCCTGACGAAGAAACTTGATCTCTTAAGGGTTGTGATGGCGCGTGCTTTGTATACGATACCGCCTTGATGCACAGGCATGCGTACAAGGAACGATTGGTTGCGGTGAAAGGAGGGTTCATTGCAATTGTCGAACACACTGGAGAATACATGGAACCCCAGTGTGTCGTCTTGTGTGATCAGGTGAACGGACGCCTGAGCGATTTTAAACAATCACTTTGGACATGTTGCTCATGTTGCACGAATTTATTGGACATAACCCTGAAATGTCGGTTACTGCAGCACACCTCGCACCATTATCATGGCGAGCTTGACTCGATTGTTGCATGACCTACTATGAAGCAGAGCCCCGCACCGCCGCTGCCATCATGCCGTATACCACGTAGCACACACGGACAAATTAGCGTGAATGACCTGTCATTGTTGCCTTGTTTTACCAGTCCGACCTCTGATACCATAATTGCGATTTGGCCACGACTAGAGGCACACCCCACTTTTGCTACGGGCATACCCTCCCGTCTGAAAATGATACTAATGACGAAGAATACTGCATCGCAAAGGCAGATCAGCTGAACATGTGGGTGATGTGGAGAGATCTCAATGCGTTCGTCGATAGGTAATAAAGCTTCGTCTGTAAATGCTTCATGTCCTCGCTGATAAAGACACGCTGCTTCAAAATCCGCTACCGACAACACTCCAGTAGTAAGCCTTTCTTTTTTTCTGATCCCTGCGAAGCAAAGAACTTGTAAATGCCTCGCCAGGTTATTCGCTTGTGTAGCTGTTCGCGAACCAGTTGCAGTGCTGATCGTGGATTGCACCGTGGCACCTATATCGTACGTAATCAAATCGGACCTACTAGGCACAGTACAATCGTAGAAGCACGGTTACTGATGACACAAATGATGACAGCATGCTCAGTATTCGGACTCGGTTCGGGTTTGTTCATTTGGTCTTTTTACACGTTGTGGCAGGGCACACCTTATTCAGTTAGCTGAATAAACCTTGCACAGTTAACAGTAAAAGGGTGTGTGAGCATCTGACTACCTCTGGTACACGTACGTGCAGAGGAAGATTGCTCTACGGAGTACGAGTACTGAGTAAAAGTAAAAAGTAGCACTGTATTAGTTTAGTTAATGTTTTTAATAAATCTCTATTTGACTTCATTTAACTATGTCTCAATACAAGTGTAAGTATTGTAGCTATCTACGCACCACTCATTGCGGACTTATGTCGTGTCGTGGCTAGACTTTATTGGCTGGTGTCTCGATCCTTTATCAACCAATGAACAGTGTGTTACTTCTACGAGGCAAATTTAGCTATTATGTGAAAATATTGTGATAATATTGTGTGTGTCCTAGCAATGTGTTCATACATGATAGTTATCTTATGTAAATTATCATGTAACGGAGGCAAACTGTTACTTCATACCCCTTAGCCATCAGTCACATAAGTGACTAACTGACGATAAACATCACACTTTTATGTCGCTTTGGGACAGGGAAGCACTTGTCGGCCAATCTATCCGTTCTTCGTTTTCATTGCATGGTCAACAAGTCCATGCGGTGCGCAGCCAAAGCTGCTGAGAACGCAGCCATGAGACTCCGTTCCACTACCATGAGGCGCCGTCCTCTGCCATGAGACTCCTTCCCACTGCCATGAGACTCCGTGCCGCTGCAACTGGGAGACATGATATCCGGGCCAGCTGACGTAGGTTCGTCTGCTGCTTCCGAGACCCAGCCTGCAGCAGTCGCTGCTGCGGGTGCACGCAGTGATATCTGAGTTATTTAACCCGAGCTTATATTCTCCGGCGAGTCTGACGGTGAGTCCGACTTGAAGGAGGCTAAGGACAAGAATGATCCCGATCTGATTAAGCCGAAGCCGACTGCGTGGGCTTCTGGAAGCGCTCTGAGCCTTGCTGATCGTCGTTACATCGTTGGATCTTCCAACGAATCAGATTCTCTGTCTCCGAGACGGAATCGTTCAGTTTAATTAAGAAAGGCCACCGGAACGACCTTGACGTTATTTCAATCATGCGTCAGAGCCCGGGTGATTAAGATGATTCTGGTGTCGGTACTTCTATGACACCCGACAAGAGACTGTGAATCACAACATCTTGCGCTTTGCCTCTGAGAAGAAGCCGCTGCTACCTCCTCAGTGAGTGTTGGCTCGTCTGTATGACACGACGAGTGATCGTAATCCCATAAAATTATTCGATTTATTGAGGCTTTACAAGCTCGATCCTAGTGCGAGTAACTATCACACTGAACGTGAATTCTTCATTGATACATTCTTCATCGATACATTCTTGAAGAATCGATGGTATAGTGGGAACACAAGCGTGACGGTACCTCGTTGGGCTAGGCATGAAATGCTTTCATTCACAACGTTGGTGAGATTAGGCGTGGTGGCTGGCTGGACAAGCTATTGCTGGCTTGTAATTGATTTAAGAAGCTGACCTCTACCGGTGCACGAGACTGTATCGGTTATCAAGAGAGGCCGGACTACCATACCTCTCTCTTGGAATGATACGTGCCAATGTTGCGTGGATAACTTGGCATGAGCTCCAAAAGAAGCTTACTCTTTGACTGACCCTTGGTGGCGGGTAATGTCACTTAATATATCTAGGAGGGAATAGCTAATTTACAATTTCTTTACAAGCGTACCGAGTGTTCGTTCCCCGATGGGCCTCCTTCGTCATCGGATGCACCTTGTAGTTTAGCTCGACAAGGCCCATAACATCTACCAGTAGTTGAGAGTGTGGCTCCCAATTATCAGCCGAGGGTGGATACCGCACCACCAATCGAGGTAACTCGATCGACGTCTTTTCACATCAAGGTGGTTCAACAAGCGATTCAAGAGGAAATATAAATAAAAAAAATAATGTTAAAAGTATTCTTTTAAGTCAAGTAAATGTTGAAAAATTAAAATCTAATCTCTATTACTCAATTCGATCAATTTTCGTTTTTTAATCAAGTTTCATGGTTCTTTAGTATAAAAATAAGGATAAAATGGAATACTTTTGGTTTTTAAAGTAATACCTAAAGGATTATTTGAACCAACTTCATGCGAATATGATGGCTGGACATACCCTAATCAAAATAAATGCAGATTTTGCTTGGACAATGTTAAATGTAATTAATTATAACATGTTAGGAAAATAGTTTAATTGGTAAAATCATAGTCTCCAAAATTGTTGTAATGGGTTTAAATCCCATTTTTTCTGTTTTAGTTTTATTAAATATAATAAATCAAAACAATTTAAAAATCTGAAATTAATTAAAGCGTTTGCAAACGCGCGCTTCAGTCAATGGATGAGGCGTTAAAAGAACCCGTTCTCCGATGGATTCGCTGGTCCAGTCTGGAGCTGTAAGTCAGCTCGAGCGTGTAACGTGTAAGTTGTGCAAGGACCTGGAGCACGAGAGAAGCAGACATTTGAGTCTGATTGACAAGGTGAACTGTATATTCTTCGAAAGGTAGAGAGATAAATCAGATTTTTCTTTTGCCCATCTTGATAATGAGCGGGCACAGTATTGTCTTCGTGACAAGCTAGCTGAAGCTCGTCAAAAAATCTCTTATCTTCGCGGGGAGATATCCGAACTTCAGACGAGGATTGATAGTCAGCACCGTGAACACAAGTACCTCATGGAGAATCTTGAGCTTAAATAAAATCCTTACCGATAAAAGTTGTGTAGTGGCCATACGGCTTAAGGCAGATGACTTAGAACGTAGGATGTGCGCGCATATTTCACGACAGTATAATCGTGTATGCGTTTTCTAAGCGGCGCAGCACACGAAAGGGACCGATGTACCTGTGTAGAACTTTTTAGTATCCACGTGAGTCACTATGCGTCGCGGTAAATTTATTGTAGATAGTAGGAATAGATTGTCTACATTGAATGAAAGAACATTTAACCTTCCTTTCTTGTCAGCGCTTTTCTTTTTTCCGTCCACCACTTCGCAATAGAAAATTGCACTAAAAAAACCGTTCGGCAAGCCAGTTAAAATTTATCTGCTGACTCGCTGTCTTTGGCTAAAATGCGCTTGGAGCACACTGCGGCAAGATCAGTGACATGGTGATTTAGAGCATTCTTACTCTTATTTTCCTCTTCTTCACCGATGTTATAGACATCGGTGTTATACGAAGTGATCTCGTAGTCAGTACGTGGTGAGTAAGAGACGATTTGGCGTTCGATCGAATGATTCACTCCCTCTTTTACGTTAGAGTTATGCCCTATAAGGATGGGTAGGCGTGGATGGCGCAAGCCATTCACGTAGAATGGTGATGCGTCGTTGATGCATTTACCTTGTTTTGATGGCGAATTTCACTATTGGCAATAATCCGCATTAAAATTCGCAAAACAGTGGACATAATCTCGAGGTTCACCTCAAGAATGCGGTTGGCACAATCCGTCTGACCATCTGTTTCGGTTTTGTCAGAGGTCGACGTCTGTAGGCGCGTTTCGAGTATTTGAATACGGATCGCCAGAATTCAGCAGTGAACCGTGGGTCTCGGTTGGAGACGAGTTCACGCGGTACATAATGAAGACAAAAATGGTGTTGATAAATACACGAGCATAAGCCTATGTATTGATAGATTTAGGTACAGAGACCAATTGTACCCTTAACTGAAGTTATCAACAAACAAAAAAATACCTGCATTACTTTGTGGGTCTGCGGTGATATCAAAGACAAAGTCAGTTTTGACCGATTCTTTTAGCATATCGCCAGAATGGGCAAGGGTTGCAACGGCGCACAAATTGAAGGATCATACTTTCCTTGTTAACATACTTCGCATGCGCGGACGTATTTACGCACGAATTGATACTGGCGTGGCCAGTAAATTCGCGACTAACTGTGAGATGTGCCTTCTCTAGACCGCGATGCCCACCAGTAGGTGCATCGTGGTACTCGTACATAATGCGCAGTCGCAGGTCACCGTGGTACGGATCGATGACGCGAGGTGTGTCGAAGGCTACCACTGAACACTTCAGCAAGCCATTGTGGATTGTACACCCATCTTTAAAAGATCGATATAATGATGATAACCCTTTAAAGTATTGACGGGATGGTTGCGAGAGATGGTTCATCAATCACACCATCTCTGGATTGTACGCCTTGCGTGTGTCCTCGAATAAGTTTGAAGACGGGCCACTCGAATTCAAAACCGCGAACGTGGTTGGACCAGATTCGCGTAGCGCAGCCGGTTCGAAATCGGGGCCGGTGCGATAAAGCATCAGCGACGATATTCAGTCGTTTAAATTGTATTCCAATCAGAACTTGCACCCCACGAAGAACGACAGCCACCTCGCCATTCGCTGCGAGAGGGGTGGAATATTAATTGCCGTGCGTAAAGACGTATGGTCCGTGTAAACGATGAAGGGTCTAACGCCTGGCAGGTAGACATAGAATTTCGCCAAAGCAAATTTCATGGCAAAAAAGTCCTTTTTATGGAATGGCTGAATTACGTTCATACGGTTACAGCTGACGTAACTGATATCAGACGACACGCTCAGCACCGACTGCATCCTACTGTATTATTGCACAATCAAAAGCGAAATCACAGACCATATGAAATGGTCTGTCTTGGTCTGCAATTGCCGAAACTAGCGAACGTATCAAGCTTTTCTTAAGACCTACGAAGTAGCGCTGGAAATAAGCACTACACGACCAATTTTCGTTCTTTTCAATGATCGATATCGATGAGCATGTATCTCGGCGTATCTGTGCAAATACGCCGCTAGACCAACAAACTTCCGGAGTCCCTTTACGTCGGTAGGGACCGGCGATGCATTGATCGCCTTGATCTTATCTGGATCATAATCATTGCCGTGCTTACTGACGATGCATCCAATTTTAGCATATTGCTAGCTGCGAATGTACACTCCTTGAGGTTGGCATACAACTTATGCTTACGCACCAGTGTCAAGGATCCTCCAATCGTGGGGTCGGTGCGCTTCTACATCCTTATATCCGTCCATAGCTCCGCTATGGATGAACATGGCATCGAAATATCTAGGTGTAAGTTCTTGCACAAATCTCAACAGATTCGTAACACATCTGTTGAACATAGCAGAGGCTTTAAATAATCATGTGGCCAATCTAGCCACTCCCACAGCATACCGCTGGGGATACTCACTGCTGTGTACGGGATGCCCCGTTCACGCATGAGGATCTGAAAGAAGCCATCAATCAGATCCATGGACGAAAATATATACTACTTTTGACGTACATCTTTGATTAATCCCTTCTTCCGTATGGCGTTTGACCCATTCAACTTGTAGAAGGCGTGTACTATCCGCCAATCTCCTGTGGCCTAGGGCACATAGAGTAGTAGAGCTATGTGGGGAAGTAGATTCCCTCACATGGACCGTTGCCAAGCGATCGACAAAGAGCCTCCCGTTCTGTGATCTCAATGTCCTCTCCAAGGGTGTTGAACTCCAGAAATTACAGGTGCGTTTTGACGGGACCATCAGTCAGACACTGCATGAACAGCGTGACCAACATTTGTTAACTCAGTGAGTTAACCGTTATGCAACTGGTAAGGTGACGTATGTACTGGGTGTACGAATTTTACGCACGTTAACCTTGCTTAATTCTCAGGAGTACGAAGCGACCCTAGACTCTGCTCGCGGCGGCTTGAATTTCACCTGATAACGGTGATGAAGACTTCAAACGACCCACGACATAT